GATCTTGAAGGTTGATGGATGAGCGGATCTTCAAGGGCTTTTGGGCTTAATCTTGAAGAACGATTGGATGTGTGGATTTGTTGAGGTTGTTGATCCAAAGGGCCGTTGGGGCTTGATCTTAGGATGAACGGATGATGAACACTTTCTTCAAGGGGCCGTCGGGGCTTGATCTTGAGTCGGTGGAAGTTCTTCAAGGGCCGTTGGGGCTTGACCTTTGAAGGAGGATTTGACGAAGAACGAAGAGTGTTTTCTTGATCCTTCGGGATTTGCTTGAGAGCTTTAGAGTTTCGAGGCTTCAAGGTTTTGGTGTGATGTAAATTCCCTTCTTTCTTTCTCTTCTTCCTTTCTTTCTTCCTTTTGAAATGAATGCCTTGGCCTCCTATTTATAGAATTCCAAAACTTGATTTTTTGGATTTAAATAATCAGATGAAATAAATCATTTCTGCCAGATATTGACACGTGTCCTATTTGATGACCTTTCCAATTTATTTCGATTTTTCGTTGAGTCACACGCTACATGTAAAATTTATGTGACACGTAAGCGTTGAAATTTTAATTATTGGTTAACATTCATTTCACCGAAATTTCGATGTCTACAGAAAGGTTTACTTAGTGTTGGAGAATTCTATTGGTCAAAAGGAAGAAAGTATTTTTCTTTGGTAATATTGTCTGTTGATGCTAAATGTTGGACCAACACAAATGAGATAGTAAATCACATAAAAACACAATGATGTAGCGTGGTCATTCAAAGTTGGATTTCACATTAGTGTAGTTTCGGTTTCATTATATAACGGATTGATTTTAAAGAAAATTAATGAAAAAGGTTTGAAAACTTTGAGTTTTAACGATAAGGACAAAATAAAGGGTAAAGTGAATAGTACTAGGATTGACTTTTTAGTGTAAAATGTGGTTTTTCGTTAAAGTGAACAGTATCATGAGCTTTTCGTTAAAGTTAGGCATAACTATCTTTGAGAGAGTAAAGTTGATAGTGAAGAAAAATTAGGGTTGAATTAAAGAGTGATTCTAAATGTGGAAGTAGCATTTTTATAGGCCGAAGACAAAGCCTCTCACTTTAAATGTATCTATGGACTAAGTGAGGCCCATTGGGAGGCCCAAATATAACATCAACATCATGATTAGGGTTACTAGGAACTTGTCATTACTTTGCCTATAATTATTGGACTTTGAAAGCAAAGAGAGGAAAACATATCTATGACCGTCGCTGAAGAGCAAAAATATTTCTCTTCAAATCTTCATCTCCAATTAGTTTTTTTTTTTTTTTTTTTTTTTTTTTTTATCATGGATCAAGGTATGTCTGTTTTATATTCAATTGATTTCCACTTGTATTGTTGGGAAAATTAAAAAACTCGAGATCTCGAATTTCCGCTTTATATGTGGTTTCAGAGTTATAGTTAAAACTTTCATGATTTCTATGATGTTGATTTAGCGTTGTTATGAATTTGATTAAATCATATCTATTATGTTTTTTTTTTCATGATTTGATTTGGTATTTGTTTATATGCCGAGTTGAAAAATGACAGAATATTAATTGGCGGTTTGAATGGGTAAATATATGATTATTTTTTGTTTTGCATCTATTTTTATCTATTTCAATTCGAAAATTTCTAAAGAAATAGAGATTAATTTTTTTTTTTTTGGGTCAAAATTAAGATTAAATCTTTTACTAAGGCAATGAAAACGAGTTTTTTAATGGACACTCAGAACAATTGGATTTTCACACAAAAGTGGAACTCTCTTGGGCATCTCTCTTATAATTCGGTTGCATTTCTCTTATGAATTGGTTGTGAAAGTGTTGATCTTTCAATTGATCATCGGTTATACTATTTGTATATAAATTTTAAATGGGGTCCCACTCACTGTTATGAATTAGGATTCCGGATATTAGTTATGTCGTACATGAGATTTTTAAGGATAAATGTAGAATAAGTGTTACTATGATCCTAATCATACTTTTACTCATGTTTCGGCTTAATTATGTAAGCATGATCTATGTTTACTAGGGTTGATAACTCAAAGTGTTACTTCAAGATCGGTGATCACGGATGTTTCATATAACTTCGTAAAAGAGAGAGTTTGCATAGCAATCCCGACCTTGGAGGCTTCCATCTGTATGTATGATTGAACACATGCATGACGAATACTCGAAGGTAAGTTCGTCTCTTTAACCATATAACTAGATCTACATGTTAAGTAGTGCTGAGTATATGCTTGTCAAGCAAATGGGAAAAGGCCTATTGATTGCGATTTCTTATTTGTTTGCGTAAATTGCTTTGTTTTATGCACTTTGGATGTAACAACCCGACCCGGTTTTATTGGAACAAAGGGGCTATTTTCATGAAACTTCACCTTGGGCTAGATCTTTTTCTTTTAAAAATGGTTTTTTAATTGGCGAGCCCAAAGGGCCCACCCCCTGATTTGTGTCTCCCAGCCTCTCTCTCTCTTCTCCCTCACTCTCCCTTATCTCTCCCTCTCGACTCCTTGCAACTTGCTTCTTCCCTCTTCCCCGAAAACACACACACAACAACCATCACCACCACACCTGGACTGTGATCTCGAAACCCCTAAGCCAAGGGAGTGCTCCACCGTGGCAGTCACAGTGCTTAATTCCCTGACGAACTCCGGTGACTTTCGAGGATTTTCCGACATAGGTAAGCTTCGAGACTCCTTTGATCTTCCTTCCTTGTAGTCTACATTACTTGGTGAGTGATTAAAATGGCTTGGGTGAAGGTTTTAGCACAAAAAACAACTTGAGGTGCATTTTCTAGAAATCTGGAAATTCCAAGCCGTGGTTATTGGCCATCTTTCAGGCCATTTTTCGGCCAACTCTGGCCACCACTTGGTATGAATCTCTCAATTTGGTTAAGTAACGAAGAAGTTACGAAGCTTTGAAAATTCCCAAAACCTTTGGCCAAAAACCCAGTTTTCCGACGAGCACCGCTCCTTTCGAAGCGTTTTCCAGCCAAACCACGACGAGTTGGCCGGCGTGCAGGGTATCAATCTCTTCATCTCATCAAGTACTACAACACGTGACCCTTTTAAGCCCAAACCCAATTAATTACCCCAGGCCCTTTTATCAACCCAATTCCTTAACCCATTAACCTAGATACCCAAAACCCTTTAGGCCTAAACCCCTTAGCCCATTTATCTAAACCCAACCCAATTTCCTAATTCTAAAACCTAACCCAAAACCCTAAGTGAACTAAGGCCTTTGGGCCATGTGAAGCATGGACCCAAGCTCAAAAACCCTAGGGCCCTTCGGCCCAAACCCTCAAGCCCATCAGATGGAATATTCCTGGAATATTTTAAGGAATATTCTTGGAATATTTCCTTGTTGACTTTTACGAAATTTACCCAGGACCCTTCTTAGGGTAATTCAACGTCCTGAATCCGTTTCTGAAGTTTGTTTTCCCAAATTCAATTGTTATATTAGAGTTTTATTAATTGGACCCTTTATGTGCTTAGGGGCAATTATTGTGGTGTTTCTATCTTCACTGGTCTGCGCAGCTTTCGACAGTGAAGTACTGTGAGTGGACCCCTTCTAAAAATACATGTTTTAATAATAGACATGCATACATGAAAAGCAGGATTTAATGATTACGTTTTAGGAGATAACATGCTTATTGAGGCTAGTTTGAGTTATTACTATTTTTCCTATAACCCGTGTTCTTTATAGAATATCTGATTGATGACGATATAATGTTTAGAACATGTTTCGAACACCTGTTGGTTTTGTACTTACCTAGTGGTCCCTATTAGCGAGGGATAGATTCCGTCCCGAGCGACGGTTACAATGTTGGCATAAGGCCTGAAGATGGTTTTCCTCTGGCTATTAGCACAGGGACGGGGAGCTGGCACGGGGCCTGGAGGTGATTTTCCTCTTGCAATTGGCACAGAGACGGGGAATTGGTATGGAGCCTGGAGGGATATTGGACATTCATTAGTGATTACGATATATACGAGATATGTTTTGAGACATTGCACAGCATGCTAGGTTTCGGAAAACCTATTTGTTTATCATGCTATATGTGTTTTCATAAAACCTAAGGGTTAGTGTGTTGATAACTATTTTATTATATATATATATATATCAACTTGGTCGACTCATGTTTGTTTTGCGCCCCCTTCAGGACTAGAATCGAGGCATACAATCCCGGTGTCAAAGCAATTCTGCAGCAGCATTTTCGAGTCATCTCGGAGTAGGACCCATTCTTTTATTCATTCAATTTTTATATAAATTCTTTTAGTGTTCTACATTAGATGTGTGCTCTGAACACATTCCTGAAATGCATATTCATTATATTTTAAATTTATAAGTCTTATTTATTTCTTGTTCTCAGCATTTGCATTCAATAAATGGCTTTCGTCACCCTCGGGTGTCGGCCAGCACGTACCTATCTTGGTATTCGGGGAATATCAGGATCGGGGTTTGTCATTGGATATACTTGTGTCTAAGAATTCTAGCGAGGCCGTAACGTTGATGATTGATCCCTCAAAAAACCATAATTAGCAATTATATGGGTTTGTAGCTCAAGTAGTTAAAGAATTATCCTACCCTCAAATTTATACACGGCTTACATAGTTTCATTCATCTAGTGACCATTATTGCTTTGTCATAATATTGTGTGTTACATGAGTTTATAGTTCCAACAAGGCCTTGTCAAAGTGCAGGTATGCTAATGTGCAGTGCACCAACCCTAAACCATAAACTCTAATAAACCCGAACCTAATTAAAACTCATTCCGGCTAAAACCGCATAAATCCGAACCAAATCCAAATCTGAATTGTGAAAGTTGGGTTAGGGTTAGGTTGAGCATCCAATCCGCCCAACCAACCCGAGTTGAAACGCAATGTTAACAATGAAAAACTTCCTAATTTACAGTAGCAAAATAAAAACAAAATGGCAACTTTAAAAAAAATATAAACAAAATGAACAAATTTTGGATGAACAACAAATCTTTCCCCATAAAAATACTGGATGATCCAAACGAACTTTCAAAACGAGTCTTAAAACAGTCACAGAAATTAATTTCTTAGTCTTATGACACTAGTTTTGTTCTTGGCATATGTTAATCCAAGCCAGAACAGTTGAGGGCAACTTTTATTTTTTCAACGTTGGAACTTATAAGAGTATTGACAGTTGCCACTAACTCCGTGTTCATCTGCTTTGAAGTTGTGGGGCTGGAAACCAATATGTGGAAAGCCACTGTAAGAAGTGAACCACATGCACCCCCCATTTCAGGACGACCATCGCGGGATATCATAAACCCCGATGGGAGTATGGACATGTTAGAAGAGTCTTCACCACTTACTGCTACATTGAGAATTTGCATGTCAACCGGAGCATATATGATAAAGGATCCAAGAGGGTCTATGTAGCACTCTTGAAGAATCAACATGTTGTCCTCCGTCGGGGTGAAAGGCTGCTCAATACAAACCATTCCAAACAATTAACCTAAACCGTTTATAAGGCATTAAACTTAACTTAGTTAAAATGAACACCATAAGACTGATATGTTTTCCTCAAACTTCAAACTAGCAATAGTTCAACTCCTGTTTCTGGACTTTTCTTGTCAAAAAAGATTTGTGCAAGTAAAAGTTGAAGAAGGAAAGAAAATTACCCGAACGATGGATATACGATTTTCGGGATGAGTTCCTGTTGAAATGTAGGCAATCTCATGCACTGGATTTCCATTAGAGAGAACATCCCACTGAGAAAAATCAAATAGGGCATTACTACTTGTAAGGTCATATTTCAACATTTAATTACTGATAAATCAAGATATATATAGACCTGAACTCTTGTTTTCTCATCTTTGAAGAAGTTAAGGATCGTTTGCGTCGACAAAGGAAGCCAGAGAGAAGTAGCAACACTGACGATCGTGCCATGCGGTTGTCCTATTTCTGTGCTTGTATAAATAGAGACTTGAATCCCAGTATCGTCAACTTCTGACAATTGGGGGAAGTCAAGATTTCCCGCCATGCTCAACATTCCACAAAAGTTCTTCACCATCCTCTGGGAAAGCTTCATTAAGCTTCTCTTGCCTTCAGGCAAAGTAACCACTAAAAAATGGAAAACATGTTCATCAAAACTCAAAATTAGGCTCCTCTTGCCATCTTTGTATTATTACTTTCTAGTTTTGGAAAACATAGGGGGTGATTGATGAAAACTTACCTCCTCCAAACACACAACCGTTCATTAAACAATGGAATCTCTCACACATCTTTTGAAGAGTAACAATCCATCTCTCAGCTCCATATGCAACACTACTACAAATTAGATCTCTATAGAGCCGATGAGTTTGTGTCTTGTCATCAACCGCCATATGCTCAATCCAAGTAATCTATAATTTTCCAACTCAATACTTAAAAACGATTCTACCAACTAAAAACAAACCAGAAATATTGTACATGAATGCTTTTTGATGAAGCCTGTAATGCCATGAAATAATAATCGTGTACTATCTACTTGTGATGTTGATATGTATTCTAAGTAACCATTGATAATTGATGCTAAAGTATTTATAGCTCCAGGTATTCTCTTGGCTTTTCCCCATTAGATTACAAGCATATCTCTGCCCTAATTTATCATATAGACCTATTTATATGGTTGAAGATTAGATGAAGCAAACCTTGGAGTATCCGTTATGCATGTCTTCTATCATGCATCCAGAAGGTAGCCTCCAAGATTGAGGCTGTCTCACAAAACTTCCTTTTGTGAAGTTATAGGAGACATCAGCGATGACCCAAGTTCCTAGCTCAATTTGCTGACAATGGCGAAGAAAGTAGAAATCCCGCGGCAGTACCAAAGGTGAGAGAACGTGCATTTCTTCATACATCTGCATTAAAAATTTTGAAATGTATGAATAATTGTGAAAAGATATAGGTAAATAATTAGTATACTTAACCAAACAATTGCATTTTATGTACCAACTGCAGGCAACCACTCCGATTTCCTATCATTCCACTCTCGAGAACTTCAATTGTCCTTGCTTTTGTTATGATTGTAGGAAAGAGGTCTTCCCATTTATTCTGCAAAACGAAGCAGGTTTTTCTTAAACTTCTTTAATCTTTGCAGCATTTTAAATTTTGTATGTCAGTATATAGGAAATAATGAAAAGTACCGAGTTATTGAACTAACGAAATCTAGAAACATGTCAACCAAGTATGCTGCACTAATGTGCACTACTCCTGAATCTTTCGAAGACTCGACACGAGCACAAGAGTTTCTGAAGTGATTGGCTTTTGGGAACATCTTATCATAGTTGTCCCGGTTGAGGAGATATCTGCCATCAGTTGGGGATTTCATCCACACAGGCTTGTTGATCTGGAAAAGCTTGATCAGTTCTTCCATGGCACTGGCTGCAATGTCTTTCATGAGTGCCTTCTCCATTTTAACATTTTCGTTTAATTGGTAAGCTATTGCGGTATTGGTGAGATTGAGACTAAGAGGTGGACTTCTGGCGATCACATGGTTCAAGGAAGATCCTGGTGATAAATTTTGCGACGATCCAACTACTGGCGCCAACGATTTAATAAGTGATAGTGGTTTCCCTTTATACTTGGAAAGAAGGCTGGCTACTTTATCATGCTGCAAAAAAAAATATGTATGCCAATCAGACATCATTGTTGTGAATAAAAAATTATATCAAAGGTATGATAGGATGTATAGATAGAAACAGTTTATGTTCCAAATATTTACCTCTTGTTTCAAATAGGCATTCTCCTGTCGAAGTCTTTGTAGATTGAGTTGTCGCTCTGCTTCTGGAATCGATGCACCACCACAAGTTGGGCAAACGACATTCTTTAAGGTTTCTCTCATTAAACAGTTTTCACCACGAATACTTTCATTCAGTTGATGAAGAGCAATGTTTTCTGCTCTTTCATTTTGTATCTGAAAAGTACCATGTAAAGAACTTTTAACCTAACAGATTCAGTGTAAAGTAAGAGAGATGGAAAAAAAAAAAAAAAAATCTAAAGTTTGTTCAAATGGAGAACCTTGTTCTGTGTTCTTTTGTTTTGAAACCAAAACGTGATTTGATTTGCGTCAATCCCCAACTCCCTACACAGTTGTTCACGTTGGTCGTCATCGGGGTGGGTGCAATTCCTGAAAAATCTACACCCAAAGAACCTCGTTATCATCGAAGATAAAGTGAAAAATAAAATAATATATATATATATATATATATATGTGTGTGTGTCTGTGTGTGTGTGTGTGTGTGTGTACATGTGCAGTTATTTCTTTTACTTTGTGGTGAATCAGATCATATCAGGTGATAAGAGCTCATAAATCAAATTCAACGAATTTCATATAGAGATTAGAATTTAAGCAACATCCCTTATAAATTCAAAAAAGTATCCTTTGTATATGCAAATATAGTAGATTTTTTTTTTTTTTAATAGGAAAATGATCTAATTTCATACTCAATGGAGAAAGAAAAGAAAAAATATATATCCGTTTACATTTTTTTAACAATCACCGGAAGTTGAGAAAAATATAAATAAAATTAATCATGCATGTTTTGGTCTTTAAAAATTTAGAACATGAACATAATAAAGTTGTGAAAAATATAAATAAAATTAATTAGAAGTTAATTGTTACTCTTCGAGTCGTTGTATCTGCTCAAAAGTATGGCGTTGAAACTTCTTGTTCTCCCTGCGGGAACTCGATGCTTCATGTCCATCACCAGAAGTTGGATGATTTCTGGGCAGCTCCATTCTCTTCCACACCAAGAAACCACAAAGCCACACAAAATAAATGTTTTTTTTCTTCTTTCTGAGACCACAAAAGAGATACACGAACACAGACACAAGCGCACGCGCACATATATAGTATGACAATTAATTCATATAATCCATCCAAACAATATACGAGTTCAAATCCTCTGTACCTTTTTTGTGTGTGACATCTCTATGATATTTATTATTGATTGACATGTGTTAAGTTTATGACAACATATATAAGGAAAGTTAAGTTTATGGACATGTGTCAACCAATGATAGAGACCATAGAGAAGGCGCACACAAAATGAGTGCAAAAGATTTGACCTCACAATATTCAAATTAAATAAAAATGTATATGGATTTATGTTTTTTTTTTAACAAACGATATATCTACACTAAGGGGCAGAGGATAGGCTTAGCCTAATAATGAGCTAGCCATAATGTAGTTCAAATTCGCCATTGACGAGAATCGAACCTAAGACCTCTCACTTATAAGTGAAGATGATTATTAGCTACTAGATCATAATACTAAATGGCATATATGAATTTATGTTAAGGTCAGATAAGGACCCCAAATTAATACCAAATAAACCCAATCAAGAAAGAGATGTATATGCTAATTTGCATTTTATGGTTCTGAGTGGTCCTAAATTTCTTTATTAATTTGTGTGAAATTTTTTTAATTTATTTTGGTTTCACATTAGAGTACTTAATTCGTAATTAACTACACAAAGGAACAACTAAAACGGAAAATGATGAGGTCAGCGAGAATCCAAGGAGCAAACAAAATGCCAAATGTATTTTGTTTATTCACGTTACTTTCCTTACTTCCCTACCAATTGGCAAAACTTGCTAAAAGTCATTGATGCATGCTCGAAATTCCTCTGAGACAGCATTAATTATGAACAAAACTTTTTTCACAAAGAAATGAATTCTTCTTTTCTTTTCATTTTCATTTTTGAATGGATTTTTTTTTTTAATCTATACATTTTTCAGGGAAAGAGAGGATTCGAAAATTGCTACATGAATTTATGAGAGGGGGAGTTTTGAAGTCGAGACGCATAGGTAGAACCACAACTCCTTATCTACTTAGATATCAGAGCACATGCAATTTATTTTTGCATGGATAAACATAACTACATTTGAAAGTTTTACTTAGCCAAATTATCTCAATATTTACCAATTAATAACTCCAAGTTCTGCATGTGGTAAAATATTCTAGTATATAAGATGTTAAGTTTTCACCCATGCGTCCAGGTTCGAAACTCCTACTCCCTTGAATTATTGTAATAGTTTCCAGTCCTCTCACTCCCTTAATAATAATAAACAAAAAAAAAATTAAAAATAACTCCAAGTGATACACCCCAATTCAGATATCCAAATGACACTTGAATGGCACGTGCGAGCCAACACTCGAGAGTGACGAAAGCCCTAAATATGCGAACCAACAAGAAGGATAGAGAACAAGCAAGAATATAAGAGAACCTATAATCCAAACATCGAATAATAAACAAAAATGATACAGATTATGCAAATGCTAAGTGACAATGATAACGATGCAAATCACACATGAACAAAACGGAGAATCCAACGGTTACAAATCCGAAGTAAAAAGATGCAATATGTCCAGAGCATACCACTAAACAGATGTGATAAAGAAAGGTAAGGCATCAAGTTACAATTATTAATGAAAGGAAGCCATACGCAAGTGGAAGGACACTGGATCACTGGTAGGGAAATACCCCTATGCTTGGGTCGTACTCCTCATCACTATATCCTGAGGGGGCGCAAAATCAAAAGGTAAGTGGCTATAGTTTATATTACTACTAATAATATATGAAAACTAATTTCTTTTGGAACATACTAACCCCCTGTTTTGAAAACACATATATAATACCACATAGTAGGTTTTCCTGAAATCCTAGCATGCCATGAAAAACGTTCATAAAACATGTGTGTATAAACCAAAGTGCAGAAATGGTAGTATCGTCGCCCGAAGGCAAATCCGTAAAACATCCGTAATTCACATAAGTGATGTACTCAACTAGGGGTATCATAGTCGTCTGAAGAAATACATGTCCATCACCCGAAGGTGAAGCTGTACGACACTGGGTTACGCCAGTGAAGAAATCATGGTCCATCACCCAAAGGTGAAGTTGTATGACTCTGGGTTACACTAGAGAAGAGATATATAACATCACACACCGACATTAGCCCCGGGCTAGTAAAGCTGGGGGTCTCATCATAATCGCCTGAAGGCAGTACCTGTCCATCACCCGAAGGTAAAGCTGTACGACATTGGGTTACACCAGTGAAGAAATCATTGTCCATCACCTGAAGGTGAAGCTGTACGACTCTAGGTTACACTAGAGAAGAGATATATACATAAACATCCTCAACTGTGTCCTATGGCCATAGACGTCTACATACCCGTGTTGTGTGGATATGTTGTATGATAATCCACTAGATAAGCACCGAAAACATATCTCGAAAACTCCTGCCAAATCATCTGAGCTCAAAAGCTCAAAACCCCGTCTCATAAATCCATAATAAGTCATATCCGTAAATCCATGGAATCTCATGTTCGTAAATCCGTAAAATAAGTCATATTCGAAATCCATAGAAATTCATATAAGCAAATCCAATAATTCATAATTGTTCGTAAAATGTAATATTCGATAAAGCATAAATATTCCATAAAAGCAATGTAAAGAAATCATAAATTCTCCGTAAAACATATTGCAAAACATGCTCAAATCATGAAATATGATATGCATGCTAGGCTAATATTTTATAAAAACATGTAAGTTAAGAAGGGGTCCACTCACAGGTATTTCATTCCCCGAGAGGTGCTCGATCTAGCGAGGATGGTGTCTCTTCTCTGGCCTAACCTAGAGTAATACAGCTTCACCTTCGAGTGATGGACCATGATTTTCTTCACTGGCATAACCCAGTGTCGTACAGCTTCACCTTTGGTGATGGTTATGCCTTCAGGCCAGTATGATACCCCTAGTTGAGTATACTATTGATTTGAGTTACGAGATTCACGAATTTGCCTTCGGGCGACTATTATTATTTCTGCGCACTGTTTTACATACATGATTTACGAATGTTTTACATGGCATGCTAGGGTTCTCACAAAACTTATATGTAGTATTATATATATGTTTTCAAAACAAGGGGTTAGTATGTTCATAAAGAAAATGGTTTTCTTATTATTAGTGTATTATTATAAATTATGGTTCACTCACCTTTTTGTTTTTGCGCCCCCTTCAGGATTTAGGTTCGAGGCACAAGATCCCGACATCAGGACACTTCCGCATAGCGATCTTTGAGTCTCCTCAGTGTATGACTCATTCCTTCGCTCGGACCCTTTATTATAATTCTTTCTCATTATTCTCCAGTAATTATATGTTCTGAACACGATTTTGTAGTGGTTTGTCTTTCTAATTACACATTTTATTCGTATGCATGTTTTAAAATGGCTTTGTTACCATCGGGTGTTGGCCATCACTTGTCCATCCTGATATTTGGGGATATCGAGATCGGGGCATGTCACCAAGTTCTAGCTACATAAGAAAAATTATTTTTTGTTTCTTACAAGATAAGATGTTAAACCTTTACGGTCAAACTTGATTCTTCATCTACCTAAAATGTTTCCAAAAAAAAAAAAAAAAATTGGTACAAAAGGTACCAAGTTAACAAGCTTGTCTCTAACCAATTGTTACGCGCTTGTAGCTCAAGTAGTTAAGATTATATATCCTATGGTCCATACGAATTAGATGTCCACTCTCTAGAATAATTTTTATCCGTTGAGCGACGGCCCTTCCACTCGGCATCGTCAAATCACTAAGGCCGACTTTCGCCCCTACTCGACGGAATAAGTTGCAAGCTTGAGCAATAGCTGCTTATATATAGCCAATTATTCAAAACGAAATTCAAACAGAGTCTCAAAACAGTTTCAAAAATAAATTTCACAACCTTCTCCGACGGCTGGTTTTATTCTTAGCATAAGAATTACAATTCCACCGCAAACAGTTTAATCCAAGCTCGAGCAGTTGAGAGCAACTTTGATTTTTTGAACGGTGGAACTGATGAGAGTGTTGACAGTTGCCACTGACTCCATGTTCATCTGCTTTGAAGTTGACGGGCTGGAAACCAATATCTGGAAAGCCACTGTGAGAAGTGAACCACCTGCCGTGGAATGGCCTGAATCCCCAGTTACTTCAGCACGGCCATCGCCTGATATCACAAACCCCGATGGGAGGATAGGTATGTTGGAAGAGTCCTCGCCGCCTACTGCTACGTTAAGAGCTGGTACGTCGACTGGAGCATATACGAATAAGGATCCCAAAGGGTCTGTGTAACTCTCTTGAAGCATCAGCATGTTATTCTCGGTGGGGATGAAAGGCTGCTCCACAGAAACCATTGAGATCAATCAAACTGAACTGCTTATAAAGCCAAAAACATAGGCTGAAAAGCTTTTCCTCATCCTTCCAGCATTTAAAGTAGCATGAGTTCAACTTTAGTTTCCCCGTACTTCCGGGATAAAATAATTCTGAAAGGAAAAATGGAAGAAGGAAATGAAACTACCCGAATAACAGATATACAGTTTCCTGGATGCGTTCCAGTTGAAATGTTTGCAATCTCATGCACTGGATTTCCATTAGACAGAACATCCCACTGGGAGAGAAATCAAATTAAGGTATCAGTCATATCACATTTCAAACTCTAATTACTTGGAAACGAAGATATAAAAAATATGAGGAGGATCCTTTTGTTAGTGAGAAACCTGAACTCTATTTTTCTCATCTCTGAAGAAGTTAAAGACAGTTTCGGAGGGTAGAGGAAGCCAAAGAGAAGTGGCAACACTGACGATCATGCCATGGGGCTGTCCTGATTCTGCGCTCTTACGAACAGAGACTCGAACCCCACTGTTGTTCACCTCGGACAACTGAGGGAAGTCAAGTTTAACTGCCATGCTCAGCATTCCACAAAAGTTCTTCACCATTCTCTGAGAGAGCTTCATTACACTCCTCTTGCCTTCAGGTGAAGTTACCACTAAACAATGGACAATAGGCTCATCAAAATCCAAAAGCATTACAAAATGATCCGAACAGAAAAGGGAACGAGAGTTTCTTTTCCATTTTGGCAAATATCAATGTATTATTTTCTAACTGGGGATTAAGGAAGACTTGCCTCCTCCAAACTCACAAGTAGATTCAACTTCATCCATTAAGCAATCGAATCTCTCACACATCCTCTTAAGAGTAATGATCCATCTCTCTGCTCCATATGCAACACTACTACATATAAGATCTCTGTAGAGCCGATGAGTTTGTGTCTTGTCATCAACCTCCACATGCTCAATCCAAGTTACCTACAATTATTGCAGTCAATAAATATGAAACAATAAATGAAAAATAAAATTTGGAATATTGTATAGTGATTGCGAGTAATAATTAATTGTGATGTTGACAGAGCCAGAACAACAATGATAATTGACGAGAAAGTATAAATGTTACCGCATGAGAAGAGCAAGATTGTAGAAAATGTATTAAACTAAGAAAACTGGAAATGTGAGGTATTCTCCTGCCTTTTTCCCATTGGCTTGACAAGCGTATTCTCAGTAACAGTAAGCATGCAGATCTTATTATAAATACTTATGCTAAAGTGATGAAGCTACTCACCTTGGAGCATCCATTAGTCATATCTTCGATCAAACAACCCGAAGGAAGCCGCCAAGATCGTGATTGATTTGAAGAACTCTCTTTGGGGAATTTGTGGGAAACATCAACAACGACCCATGTGCCTAGCTTCATCTGCTGACAATAACGAAGAAAGTAGAAATCCCGTGGCAGCACCAAAGGTGAGAGAATGTGCATTTGTTCATACATCTGCATTAAAGCAATTTGACGTATAACTGATGGTGAAAACTATAGGAAAATAATTAACTCAACAAATCAATGGCTTTAATATGTACCAGCAGTAGGCAACCACTCCGATTTCCTATCATTCCACTTTCAAGTACTTCAATTGTCTTGGCTTTCGTAACGATTGTGGGAAAGAGTTCTTCCCATTTATTCTGCAAAAATAAACCATTTCTCTTCACCTTATTTGATCATTCCAGCAGTGTAATATTACTTTGTCAGTTTATATTGGGAAAATAACGAAAAGAATGAGTTAAAGAACTAACTGAGTCTAAGAACATGTCAACCAAGGTTGCTGCACTAATGGTCACTACTCCTGAATCTTTTGAAGATTCGATACGTGCACTAGAGGTTTTGAATTGATTGGTTCTTGGAAATATCTTATCATAGTTGCCACGGTTGAGGAAATATCGTCCATAAGCTGTGGATTTCACCCACAAGGGCTCGTCGATCTGAAAAAGTTTGACCAGTTCTTCCAAGGCACTGGCAGCAATGTCTGCCATGAGTGTCTTTTCCATTTCAGGGATTTCTTGTAATTGGTAAGAAAATGCAGGACTGGTAAGATTGAGATCAAGGGGTGGACTTCCAATAATCCCTTGGTTGATCGAACATCCTGGTGATAAATCCAGTGTGGATCCAACTACAGACGCAAGCGATTCAATTTGTGATAGTGGTTTCCCAATATATTTGGAAAGAAGGCTGGCTACCTTATCATGCTGCACAAAAAATATCCTTAAGAAGACATCATCAAAGTGAATCCACATATAAATACAATGAACAATAATTAACAATAGAGATCTTTATGAGAGTGATTGAATTTACGGATGAGATTTTATTTATATTCCAAATACTTGCCTCTTCTTTCAAATAGGCATTCTCCAGCTGAAGGCTCTGCAGATTGATCTGCCGCTCTTCTTCTCCAAACGGTGGACCACCACAGGTTGGGCAACTGACATTCTTTAAGGCCTCTCTCATCGCATAGTTTTCACATTGAATCCTTTCATTATCTTGGCGAAGAATAGTGTTGTCTGCTCTCTCACTTTGAGCCTAAAAAATACCGAGTAAGTTATAGATGCAATATAAAATACAAGAACAAAAGGACAGATTGCTAAGCATCCGAGTAAGTTACTGAGAAATATGGAAAACCTTGGTCTGTGTTCTTTTGTTCTGAAACCAGAACTTGATTTGTTTTGGTTCAAGGCCCAATTCCCTGCCCAGCTGTTGACGTTGGCTGTCATCCGGGTGGGCACAGTGCTTGAAAAATCTACATCCAAAAGAACCCCGTTATCATTCAAGATCAAGTGCGACAGATTAAGAAGTGGAAAGAAAAAATACAACCTCAAATTGGAGAAAAATAGAGACCAAGGTTTAATATCTACGATCAAATGCATTGAAATTCAATTGATGATAGAACTGTTAACCGTAAAAGAAAGACAGAATTACTCGAAGATTAGTCTGTGTATGAAAAATAAAAAAATAAAAAGCAAGTCTAAGTCATAACTTTCAAAAGAACCTTTCAAACAAGCATTGATCTGGGATCTATACCCAATTTATGGCCGCTTGGAAAAGATGAGTCTCTCATTAACAGATTTCGAAGTCAGAATTTAATTCACGAAAAAGATGATATCGACATAAGTATTTCTTATTTTTTGGTTGGAGAAACAGATCAGATGATATGAGCACAGCAATCCAATTCAACAAACTTGAAACACATACTAAACCGCATCCCACAGAAATCAAATCCTCAGTGAGGTACTGATGAAAATTCTCATTTGTATGCAGATATAGAAGAAAAACAATCAAGGAAAATGATCTAATTGGATACTCACTAGTAAAAGACAAAGTAATTTCCATGTAGATTTTTTTGTAAGGAACAATCATGCATGTATTGGTCCTTCATCCACATTCAGCACATGAACATAATAGAGTTTAGGAAAATAAGATAAATAATTGAAGGTTGATTCTTACTCTTCGAGTCGTTGTATCTGCTCATTAGTATGGCGATGATATTTTTTGTTGCCTCTGCGGGAATTCGATGCTTCATCACTTGAAGCCCCACCATTTCCCAAAAGCTCCATTCTCTACCACACTAAGAAACACAAAACACAAATCAAAAGCTTCTCTTTCTGAGAGCAAAGAGAAAGAAGAGATACACAGCCAAACACAAACACACACGCATATATACATATATATATAGTGTGTGAAAATTAATTACAAATGCCATCCATACAATATACAGATAATATACATGAATTTCTTACACTGCTCAAATCCAAATAAGGATATGACATTAATACCAAAGTAACCAAATTAAGACAAAGATATCTATCTTAATTTGGTTTTTATGGTTGTGGGTGGTCTTGGATTTCTTCTTTAATAATTTGTGTTTACGGAAAAGTTTCAAATTAATTTGGTTTCACATGAAAGTACCTAATGAGTAATGAACTACGGCCAAGTAACAGCTAAATTAAAAGATGATATCAGCAAGAATCGAGGGGGCTCTGTGCTCTCTGAAACAAATTACTAAAAGTGCAAAAGGTATTCTCAAACAAATATAGGAGACACATTGCTTTCCTAACTTTCTCGCCAAATGGTGAGGCTTGACTGCACGATCAGATTCTCCCAGACCATGATTTATGAACAAACTTAACCTTTAAGAAGAAACGAATTCTCTTTTCTCTTTTCTGTTTTTAAGGATAAATATCATTAAACTTTATAGTTTCACTCAATCTAATCCCAAACTATCACAATTTTTCTTATGTATTACTAGTTAATAAGCAAAATAATTTTGATCACCGAAAAACACGTGTCAATCAAGGTTATAAAAATTCTGAAACCGTTTAGGGAGCCTCCAAACCAATGCGCGATGACAGAGATAGAAACATGGTTGTCTATAACAATTGATAAAATATAAATTTTATGAGGGGACGATATCATTCAGTGATCAAGATTCGCCATCTAAAACCGTTAGCCGGTGTTTCAAGTGTTTAGAACTAATCAAATTGGTTTGTCTTGAAAATTGTTTGATACCACTACTTTTAACTTACGCCGAAGGAGGAGCGAGGGTTTGAACCAGAGACGTAGTGCGCTAAAGGAAGGTCGTATCCACCTAGGCAAGCCACCACTCAAAATCATCGATATTGTCAATGACGAATTATTCGTCACCACTGTTTTTTTTTCTTTGACAATTAAAATGATCTCTAGAAAATATTATTTAGCTCAATCAAGAAAGAAATATCAATTATAATATGAAAGACAATAATTTCATATATACGTAGTACAATTTAGATACAAAATCACGAGAAATGTTGTCAGGGGGCAGCTTTATTTGTCCCGGCAGTTGCTTTCTTGAAGGTGTCTGTCTCACCTCCGGCGCGGCGAGCAGCGTTGACGGCTTTCTCATCATTCTTGGCCGCGGCGTTGGGTGCCTTTTTCCGGATGACGACAGGCTCCCCGTCCTGTACGATGGATCCTCGGCGATCGGCTGAGGTGAAAGAATGTCACTGCAAAATAACTTGATTAGTGTCCCCGATTCATTATTTAACGTTTGGAGGGTTGGGAAGTGTGAAGATTTTCGAGTTCGGACGAGAGAGAAAAGTTGATCGCGAAGATTGTTCGGCTCTAGGTGGCCGAAGAGTTCGTTGGAGTCCGGCGGGACCTTACTGAAATTGTCATAAATTTCGGCTGTCACTTGTCCAACTGTTCTGTAGGTGCTCAGAGCCCATCTGCCGAACACTTCATATTGAATACTTTGTTCGGCTGTTTTATGAGAACTTATATGACATGGGTAAGTCACTATAATGGCTTTCCATCACGTATAAGTCATTGCCAAACAATTCTCGAATCCAAAGTTCATCGAAAAAGAGAAATCATAAGTAAATCCAAATGCTAATATACACGTTTGAAGTTGATGAACTGTATACTTGACAGACGATTTTTAGTTTGCATACAATACGGTAAGGTTTGAGTCATTACCAATGCCTAGTTCAAGTTAGGCATCAAAGAAATACAAATCAAGGGCATGCTTTGAACGTTAAAAGCAATACTTGATGAATGGTATCAGATCAACGACATAACAACTCAAATGGAAATAACCTAAGCCTGTTAGTTCGAAACAAAACCCATCACCCGCCCCACCTCTGGAACTGAACCAGGATCAGGCAGAAACTGATGTCAACTTGTCAAATATCCCGAGTCTTGCATTTGATGCGTAGAGTGGAGCAAACTGGTGCTGTTTCTTTGTGGTTTCCGTAACTTCTTTTGCCTTGATCCAGAACAGAAGACAGTGAAAACACTGAAATCCATTTCTCCTCATTGGATATCCTCGAAATCATGTTCATCCTGTTGGGCAAGTGACAAGTTACTTGTCTGAAATGAGCCTACTTGTCCAGTTCCATCTGTCATCATGGAGCGAACTATCTGCATGCGCATTCAAGAATCGTTCAGTTTCTTAATAGCACATTCCATTTATCCCAATGTCAAAGAAAATTATGCAAAGCACGCAAGAAGGCATTAAATTTTTTCATCAAAACAGATAAACATTGAGGTTTTGTACATTTACCCCTAGTGTCCCTCAAAACAGAAATAACACCAACTTTCCTCAACAAATTTTCATGACCATATGAAAAATGTCGGACTGGATTATCATATTATGTTCATAATTCACAGTATTGACTGCATATGATAACCACATTTTCATTGTGCACATACTGAACGAAAATGAAGCAAAATATACCATCTATACAATGCAGGTAATCTTGACGACTCGAAATACACAATAAGAAACAATGTACTGACTAAGTTAAAAAAAATAATAATAAAGTAAAATAAAAACTGGAGTGTAGCGTCAAGTTCCAATTAATATACGAAAATAAAAAAATCACCTTCTCCATTTCATCAACAAGAAGAGGGTTCTCTCTCAAGTACTGCAATGCTTTATCTCTTCCTTGTCCTAACCTTTTTAAATAAGATATAAAAGCCAGTCATTAGCCGCAACAGTTTTTTAATTGAGAGAGAGAGAGAGAGAGTAACAGTTATAAACAAGAGAATTCTTGAGTTATTTGTAAGAAAATAAACCTTCCCCTTTCATCTCACCTAGGAGTTATTTGTAAGAATTCTTGAGAATTCTTGAGATAGAAAGAATAAAAGCCTAAAGTTAGCTGAGGAGGTAAACCTTCCCCTTTCATCTCACCTAGGAGTTATTCAAAATTTTAAGGGCAGCCCATTTAAGTAAACATCTTCACATTAGTGCTGGTTAATGAGAGTTACTTCGGGGACAAAGATAAATAAAATATACATACTTTGCTCGTATGTTGATAATGCCGAACCCTCTGCCTCACTTTTGTGTACAAGACAATCATAAAATACTTTGCTTTTATGTTGATAATGTGAAAACCCATTTAGTTCAGGATTTAAATCTAGACAAGAGAGGCTGCGGTGATTTCAGAAGACTTTTCAAAACATCAAGGTGTGTGGCATTTCACGTGTTCATGGACTCAGCAAGGTCCAAGCTGGGAAATGGTTGAATGTTCCAAAGGATCTTATTGTTAAGTAAATAAGTGGAGGTTATTTAGTAGCCTGCTGATTCATTACTTTTGGCAGTAGAATAAATAATGCATGTCCCTGGCCACCTTTTGGGAATTAAGACACTGCTCCCAGCTTATTATGTCTTCAAATGTGGCCCTGGAGAAAGGAATGGGTGTCTATTGGTCTGTCCTCGAAGAAAACGAATTTGAGGTTTAATAGCCTTTGCTCACCCCACATCAGTCTGTAACCATGAAATTGTAGCAAAAAGGGCTGATAGAACTATCTCCTACTCATGGATCTGCAACTTTTACTAGAAATTTTGGGGATTGATAACAATATTGTGCTCTTTTGTTCCCACAATCATTTGGGGCGTACAGATTTAGAGGGTCAGGGCTACTGAGGGTGGTTGCCAGTGTGGGTTAAATAAAGGAAATTGGGTTAGGCTGATCAGGCATGACAGAATCAGGGCAGGGCTGCTAGAGTTTAAAAGGAGGATCATTAAAAAGTTGTTGACATTGAAGAGACTGTAATTTGTTTTCCTACAAGAAACAAAAGAAGGAAGTCAAAAATAGAAGATTGATGGGAAGTGACGGGCAGCCTCAGTGTCAAACTTACCCTATTGCATCACGAGTCCATTGAGGTAGGACCCAGTACAATTTAGATAACATGTGGTTTCACCACAGATCTTTTAGCAATACCTTGAAGTTGGAGTACAGTTCAGGGTTGGGAAGGTTTAGTCTTTCTTTTTTTAAAATAATAAGGCGCCTCCCTCTTACTTTCATGTGAACTTAAACGGTGCCTGGCCTTATTTATTTGAGACCTGATAAAGCACAAAATGCTTCCTAAATGAGAAATGTCCACAGTTTCCCTTCTAATTAGCAATACCAATAATGCATCTCCTCAACTTTATTTACCAATCTACTAAGTACATCCATAATTAGTGTGAATTGGAAAGCTGAGAGTGGTTCTCCTTGTCTCAAACCCCTTAATGCACCAAACTTACTCCTCCACCTCCCGTTATTCAATACCCCCAAAACCTTTTCTCTCCAAAGTGAAATCTGTGTTCCCTTGGGGTTGCAAAGAATTGAGAAAAGTAAGCAAACTTATGCTGGTCTGATTTTGTGAACAATGTGCATGAACAGTGCATGATAAACATTGTTAAGAAAGAAGAAACAGGAAAAGTAAAACCTAGGAATACACGTCTTCCTTAAACAAAACATTCAATTTTAATAATCAAACTCTACTTGTCTATGGGTTTGCATACTCTTTTCTTTCCGAATATGAATAGTATTCTGAATGAGAGTCCTATTTGATCGAATATCCAAACTAAACTCAACAACAAAAATGAAGTCTACTGCATGAGTTTTTACGAATGCCCAACATATAACTACAAGTTTAAGAATTAAAACCTGAAAATAGAAGTTCAAGTACAAACCTGTGGTCCCCATAGCTATACCAAGAACCCTTCCTCACTACTACATCCATTGCTTCAGCACAATCCAATATGCAACCCTGAATGAAAGAATGAGTTAAAATAGATTGTGGCTTCAACCTTTCGGGCTGGGAAGATCAAATATGTTGCAATACTCACCAATTTACTAACTCCCTCTCCAAAAACAATTTCAAATTCAGCTTGTTTGTATGGCCTCGAAACCTACAACAACTTAGGATCAGGATCCTTTCACTTATAAAGCCATATTAATCAGAAATGTAATAAAGTTGTTGAAAATTAAATGAATGGATGTGATAAAGAGCAGTGCCAATAATTATGGAATACTGTCAAAACCTGGGAATCAGGAGGCAGTCAGCAAAAGTCCTCTTAAAATGTATGCAAATACGATAACAAAATCATTTAGCCAACAAAGGATAGCATTTTCCATAAAATGCGAAGAATCAAAAGGGATAAATGGCTTTTGACAGAAAACTCTACTGAAAAATTAGACCAAATATATATATTAAAAAAAATCACATTTTCATACTTTAAACCATTTATGAAGTTTCTAGTGAAACTGCAATAACTGCTTCAAGTAATCATAAAGATAACAACAGAAGTGTTCCTTCTATGCTTGGTGCACAAGCCTCACAGATGTAGAAATGATTTTGATGTACTAAAAGTTACCTTACTCTTTACTACTCTTACACGAACCCGAACCCCAATTTCTTCATCTCCCTTTACCTGCTCAGTATAGAAGTATGTTCTATGAGAAACAATATAGAAACTCTGTTTGCTGATTTACACAGATAAATAGATATTATAATTAATCTATCAAATCGCTATTATGAATTGAGAAAAAGTGGCTATTGTGCTTACAGACTTTATCTTCCCTGTAGAACGTATTTCAAGCCGAACTGAGGCAAAGAATTTTAATGCAATTCCTCCAGATGTCACTTCCGGATTCCCATAATATACACCGATCTTGCAACATGGAGTCAGGCTATTAGTTTCTGGAAGTGAACTAATTGTGATTTAGGGGGAAAATAACTAATAAGAAAAATTGAGGAACAATTACAATCATATACATATGAAAAATTGTTGATTCAGACTCAGACGCTCAGCCCTAGGTACTCGATATCCAGGTATGCGTCATCATAAATATTTGAAAACTTTAATGCTCAAGTATGTGCCATTCGGAAAAGAGAAGATGTGAACAAATTAATAGAAACTACCTTATATCTGATTTGATTTAAAAATATTAGTGTACATCCAGCTTTAGATGCATTTCCTGACATTTTGCGCAAAGCTTGGCTCATAAGACGTGCTTGCAAACCCATTTGCTGCATCCCTATCTCACCCTATACGTGGCAAGATTTGACAGTGAGATATGAAAAATTGCACATCGAACACTTATAATTACAATATAAAGAGAAGCTTACTTCAATCTCTGCTCGTGGAGTGAGTGCCGAGACAGAATCAACACAGATAAGATCAATGGCACCAGATCTGCACATACGATCTGCAACTGAGATGACAGAAATCAAATCATTATGTTAAGAATATACTAAATGTATACTTAGGCATCCTGCTTATGACAGACTGAATAAGTTCAGAATAGTACTCTCAAGTGCCATTTCACCATGATCAGGCTGACAAACAATCAAATTTTCTACATCTACTCCCAATGCTCTTGAATATGCTGGATCAAAAGCATGTTCTGCATCAACAAGCATAGCATTTCCTCCAAGTTTCTGCATATTACCATTGAAAAGCTAAATGTTGGTCCAGTAAAGATCTAAATCCTTTGAAGCAGCCAGTATTCAGTTACTAGAAACTAAAGATTCCTGATGAAAGTTGAGGAAGCTATACCTGCACCTCTGCAATTGCATGGAGTGCTAGAGTGGTTTTTCCACTACTTTCTGGTCCAAATATCTAGAAACAATACAAGGATAAATAAGCATTTTGTGCAAGAACTACCTAATACAAATAAAGAAAGTGCAAACTGCTTCCTTGGGCCAACATGAATCCCGTTAATTACACTACTCCAATCACTCTAACAAAATGAAAGTCATTAGGAGAAATTTCCATATGTTTATAAAGCTTAAGTAGCATGTCAAATTCACCCACTGGAGCTTAAGCAATAATGTGATTGCATCTTTATTAAAAACTATAAGTAACCATGATGATTGCACATGCTGATAAAATAACCAAATTTTTGGCTCTAATACAAAAATGAAAATAAAACAAAATTAAAAATCCACAAGCAACAATGAAAACGCCAAATCCCCACACCACACCAAACTGGTGCAGAGTTTACTCCAAGTATGTAATAAAGCAATGCACAAAAATGCAATCAATCTCCTACAATTACGAAGATTTCTTTAGATACTACATCTTTTACGAAACTTTCATTTGATACATCATCTATTACAAAGATTTCTTTTCCAATGAAACAACCCGTCTTTGGTCATAAAAAGTGAAAGGAAGGAGAAGCAGAAATTGGTTTTTGGGCCTAACAAAACCTCTCCACATTCAGAGCAGGGTGAAGGGAAACCATCGAAATTCCAATCCCAAACGGATGCAAGTGTAACTTAGCAAGCAAAATAAAGAAAAAGAGATAAACACAAAAGTAAAAGCAAGAAAGCATACAATGGGATACATACCTCCACAATTCTCCCTTTTGGAAGGCCACCACCTAAGGCAAGGTCTAATGTCAAGCAGCCACTGGGAAAAGTTTCACTGCAAAAATAAACAGACTTTTAAATAATCTACATTGACGGTTATATGATATGACAAGGAGACAGAGAAGCACATACACCAGAGCTCCACCGGCACTTCCTAATCTTGTAACACTTCCCTTCCCAAATGAGCTATTTATATCATTCATTGCCGCTTCCAGTGCTTTTTGCTGAAATAAAAAGCACTTTGGTAATCAGAATTTAACTACCTTCAGCTCAAAGTTTTAATCTTTCTGCGTTTGAGTTTGTGGGTAATCACTGGTAAAAACACTTTTTCTGCTTTTGGGAAGCAAACACGTAGATTGAGGCGAAAAGGCTAAAAGGGTTTTCGAAACCATACCCGGTCGATGAAACGGGGGTCGGAGTCGGCGGAAAGAGCGCCATTGACTTTGGCTTGGAGCTCGCAACAAACCCTTTTGATTGGCTTCACCGCCATGGAGTGTAGGTTGAAGCGCTGCGGGAGAGAAGAGTGGAAGAGTAGAGGAGAAGGTAAGCAGTGCGAGTGCGACTGTGGGCTTGAGAGGGTGGGCGAGTACCTCATGCTTCCTCCGCTGTTGCCCGTGAATGCTAAACCCATTACTAAACCTCTGATACAACCCAATTTTTGAGATGCAGCAGCACCCGAAACGAAATGTGAAAAGTGATAGAGAGAATATGAAGGAAGGGGAAGGCTCAAGCCCTCCGCACCAATGTGATGAGAAACTAATTGTTAGGCAAAAAATTAGCCAAATTGAGATGATAATTTAAATTTAGAAAAAAAAATCTCAGATTAATATTCTATGTTTTTTTTAGTAGTAACAATATATTTTACACTAAAAAAAAAAAATGAGAGTTCGGCTAAGTCACATAGGTAATTTAATTAGGTATCGAATTAGTCATCCACGAGATTCGAACTACCAGACATTAATATTCTATGTTGGTTTCAAATTTTACAATTTTTTGTAGGGTAAAAGAAAATTAATTTAGAGAGAAGCCTCTAAAACACCTGAGAATTCTAAAATCATACAACAACGCATTTCTAGTTTGATAGGGAATACAACACAACCATGATAAATATACATATTGTCGCAGTTATGTCCTATAGAGAGGTAATGGCATCAACAATGAAACTTCATAGTCCCACTCCACCAAATCAAAAGAGGAAGCCAATCATTTTATGTCCTCCACAAAAGTTCTAATTGTCCAAGGAACCTCGCACCAACATCAATAACAACTTTCGAGTCACCTTCAACAATGATCTTCCTGAGTCTGCATTGTTTTGGAAAATTTAAGGCATCTTGAAGATCAGTTGCTTGGCCCAGAGTGACAGTGCTATGTCCCAGACGGCGAGAATAAGCTATTACAAAAGTTGAAGTTCATAATTAAGGAATTTCAAAAAAATAAAAAATACAACAGTTGATATGAAGGTATATGTTATGAACTTGTTTGGAAATGTTTTTAAAATTGCTGAAAGAGATTTTGGTAAAAATGTTTTTGGAACCAGTCCTGAGTAAAAATGCAAGTAAATTTTGAAAAAGCATTTTCCTCCTTCTCCTTGGGGGGTGGGGGGGCGGCGGCGGGGCGGGTGGGGTTGGTTTTCAAATTTTTTTTTTTTTTTTTTTTTGTTAAAGATTAAGCAGAAGGAGATGATGATGGGGAAGAAAGAGAAGGGGAGAGAAGGGACGACTAAGGTTTTTTTTTTTTTTTGTACTTTACCCTATTTAAAATCTCTCTTTTTAATTTTGTGATATAGTGTCATTGTGCGCAAAAAGGTGGTAGGTGGATCAGCCCCAATCACCAAATCACCGAAAGAAAAATTATGCATTTTTGCTCATCATCATTTAATGTGATGTATACTCACTATCATATTTATTACCATTAAATGAGTTTGAATTTTGAGAATTGTATCTATCTACTACACGAATTTCAAAATTTAAACTCATTTAACAGTGATAAATATAAAGTGATGAGTATCCACCGTATTAAATTAAATGATGGTGAGCAAAAATGCTCTCAAAGAAAAATAATAATAAATGAGAAGAAAAACAAAAGTTCTCCGTTGAACATTGGTTCACAACTCCCAGTATAAATACAAAGAACAAGAGTGACTCTGTGTCTTGTGCATCTTCCTATAATAATTTGCCTGCCTCTCACCGTTGAAGAGTCGCCGTTTCCATTCCCCTCGTATCTACATATCTACCCTTCCAATTCCAAGCAATCACTCCCAGACGAACACAAGCACCAATGGCTTTCCAAAAGATCAAGGTCGCCAACCCCATCGTCGAGATGGACGGTGAGATCCCTCTTCCATCTATATATATATTTTTCCTCCGATCTGATTGTTTCCATCGCCGATTATCTCAACTTATTCATCTGCTTGTTGTGTCTCGTTTTGGTTTTATCCCTTGACTCATTGAGCTGAATTTGTGACGTCCACCAAATGTTTGTTTGCTTTTGTCTTGCGGAAAGGTGCTGCCTTTTATTTTTGTGTTCTCTTTTTTCCTTTGTTGATCGAGTAAAAAGTTGGTAGAAAGAAAACCCACTTGCCTGAAATGATTTGTTTTCCCCAAAAAATATAAAATTGAATAAATACGACTGTCAACTTGTTACTGATGATCTGTACAAAAAATAATCTTGATCTCAATTGGGAGAATTGTTTGATGAATTTTTTATCGTATATTATAATTAAATTGTGTTTCATCTATATGTTACCGGCCTCTTAAGAATTGAACCGTGATGAATCGATGATTTTTTCAAAGAAAGGATGTTAAAAGTTTGAGGCATAAAATGTTTGGACAGAAGTGTTCGGTCAGAACTCACCAAGATGTTCTTTTTAACTCATGAAAGTGTGAAGAACTCGGAATGCACGGCACAGTCATACTCACACTGCATGGCACACTTGTTGATTTCAACTTTACGAAACTAATACGCTTGTGTACATGGGTCGAGACTCGAAGAAATTTCACCGTACACTTGTTCATGCTGTCTTTTGATATGTGGTACAGGGGACGAAATGACAAGGGTTTTCTGGAAATCCATCAAGGACAAGGTATCTACATCTTACTCTTAAGTGCTTCACTAATACTACTTTTTGTAACTACATGCTGTTGTGATCAAGATGGTGGTTGCTTATATGATTCTTTCTCTTTGTTGTATCTGCAGCTTATTTTGCCATTTGTGGAATTGGACATCAAATACTTTGACCTTGGTCTTCCTCATCGTGATGCCACTGATGACAAGGTTACTGTTGAAAGTGCCGAGGCTACTCTCAAGTACGTTTATCGCATCTCTACTTAAAGTTCTTAGAACAGAAGAACAAGAAGCGATTATAGTATCTTTTTGCATGGAAATTTTATTTTGCTATTTCATTCCGCATCTCTAACACTTGGTATTTTAGGTACAATGTAGCGATCAAGTGTGCAACTATTACTCCAGGTATACACTACTGAACAATTATACATGCATTTGTTTTCTAACTCTAGATCCTGTATTAATATTTTCATTCGTCGCCGAGAGATTGACAAAATTCATGATATTGTTGTTATAATTGACAGATGAGGCTCGTATGAAGGAGTTTAACTTGAAGAGTATGTGGAGGAGTCCCAATGGGACTATTAGGAATATTTTGAATGGTTAGTGAACTGTCAACTATACGTTTTCATCTTTTGAACAATTTTCTTTTCAAATTACAATGATTGCTTTTTCTACAGGTACTGTTTTCAGAGAACCAATTATTTGCAAAAACATCCCTCGCCTTATCCCAGGTATTATAATGTAATATAGTGATTCTATAGTTTTGTCGGATTAGACCAATGCTTATTGTTTCTGTTTTCAGGCTGGACAAAGCCGATATGCATTGGAAGACATGCTTTTGGTGATCAGTATCGAGCAACTGATGCAGTCATTAAAGGACCTGGGAAACTGAAATTGGTGTTTGGTAAACTTTTATCTATACTTTGATAGTATTAGATTTGTGTGCAGCACTGTAGTTTTGTAGGATTATACATGCAGAGTTTCTCTTGATAAGTGAAAGTTCTTAAATTCCTTTAGTTTTTGGTCTTATTACATGATAAATGCTTGCAGTGCCAGAAGGAAAGGATGAGAAGACAGAGCTAGAGGTTTACAACTTTACAGGGGAGGGGGGAGTTGCATTGGCCATGTATAACACTGATGAGGTTTAATTTGTTACTCCCTTCGTGTTTCTGTTGAAAGAATTTCTTGATTGCTGTGAGTCACTGGGTTTGCCCCTTATATTGTATATCTGTCTTGGGTATGCAGTCCATCTGTGCTTTTGCAGGGGCTTCCATGACCACAGCTTATGAGAAAAAGTGGCCTCTTTATCTTAGCACAAAAAATACTATACTGAAGAAGTATGATGGAAGGTACGCAGATTCCTAATTTCCCTGTTTTGACAAACAAAAAGAGGATTTGACATTTGTACTTATCATTATCTTACCTATCTGTATTTTTGTTTGTTCATGATATAAGATTCAAGGACATATTTCAAGAAGTTTATGAAGCTAACTGGAAATCAAAGTTTGAAGCTGCTGGCATATGGTAAGGAGTCAGGACGGCGATTTTATTTCATAGAATGGATCCTGAGGTTAAATGGTGTTTTACTGATTATATACTATTGGATTGGAAGGTATGAGCATCGTCTCATTGATGATATGGTGGCTTATGCACTTAAAAGTGATGGTGGGTATGTTTGGGCATGCAAGAATTATGATGGAGATGTGCAAAGTGATATGTTAGCTCAAGGTTCGTACAACTGCCCGTTTGCTAATTTTTGTTTCGTCTCATCAATGATTTGCATACTGAGCGATTGCAGTTTTTAACTCGTGGTTCTATTGTAGGGTTTGGATCTCTTGGATTGATGACATCAGTACTGGTATGTTATACCTGTTTCATGTGTATTTGCACTTATCCCTGCATCCCTTACTCCCTAATTTGTGTGAATCCTTGTCCGTCACTTACTGGAGTATTTCATGGGTACAGGTGTGCCCAGATGGAAAGACTATAGAAGCTGAAGCTGCGCACGGTACAGTTACTCGGCATTACAGGGTTCACCAGAAGGGAGGTGAAACGAGTACAAATAGCATAGCTTCTATCTTTGCTTGGACAAGAGGCCTAGCACACAGGTATATTAGAAAGATTGTTTTCCAAGTTAGCGCTCCTCTTTGATATCTTAATGTTCCTTGAAAAGGTCAGTAGATCTGAATTTGAATGTGTCTTGGTAATAGGGCGAAGTTGGATGACAATGCAAGACTTTTGGAGTTCACTCAAAAACTCGAGGAAGCTTGTATTGGAACTGTGGAATCGGGGAAAATGACCAAGGATCTTGCACTAATTCTTCACGGATCCAAGTAAGTATTTGAAGTTTATTTTATCTTTATAATTTGTCTCTCTGCGAGTGTGAGTTGTGTTTTCTTGTGCCTCTATTTGAGCAGTGAGTTTATTTAAAACATGCTTTCGTCTGCTGCAGGCTGGCTAGGAACCACTACTTGAATACTGAAGAGTTCATTGATGCTGTGGCCGAGGAACTGAAAGCTAAGCTTGCTTGCTAGGAACCACTGCAGTTTCCAGACTTGGTTTGGAGGTGAGTTCCATCTTGTTTTCCACCGTTTCTAGAATTTTCATCACAATCTTATTGAAAGTAATGTGACCTAATGCCTGTTTGTAGGGGAATTTCTAAACACAATTTAAATTTCTTGCTTCATTTTCTTGTGATTCCCGTGTTTTCTTGAGAAACTATTCTACCCTCTCCTCTCTATTTTTTGGTTTTATTGAAATAGTTTTCTCATTTAGCGCAAACGTTTTCTTTTATTTTTTGTAGTTAATGACTTCTAGGTTGTGTTTCAGGGATAGGCAACTGTAGACTTCTGTATTTTGAAATAAGGCAGGGGGGCGGAAAAAAGGGAAGGCTCCGAAGGGCGGAAAAAGGGAAGGCAGGAAGGGTAGAAAAGGCGAAGCCAAGGGTGGCGGAAACTTCCCCCTCTGGTGTTATGTTAGTGTTGTTAACTCATCTGTTTCTTGTGTGTGTTAGTTTCTTGTGCACCATTTGGATTCTCGGCTCTTATTGATTTGCTTGTTCTTTCCTCCTCGTCGGTTGGTAGCTTTGGCAATTTTCCTTCTTCATGACTCACCTCAAATTTTATGACTCCTCTCTTTATAGAAGAACATTTTAATTTCATACGCCAATGGGAAGCTAGCTTTTTGAATGGCAATAGTGGGTGAAGTGCCTTTTGTTCTTCATTGGCAAATGCATTTCAAAAAATAATGGCAGATGGTTCGTACCTGTTGATCTCTATCCCCCAAGGACACGTCGATTTTCTCTTTTAAAATCCATTGAATCACATTTGATTGAATACTCTTGAATTTAACTCTCGTGGAATCCTTCGAATTCCCAACTATGATAATTTCCCCTTTTTATGGGAAAACTATATTTGTCATTAGGGTCTCGTCCTTTTCAACAATGTTAAAGGAACTTTCAAAAGTGTTACTCTTAATGATTTTATGTCATTTCATGTTTTTTGACACAATGTTTTAATGATAAATAACAAACAGTCCCATTTTTTAGAAAGTCCTTTCAGCATGTCTCAGCCACCTTTGGGAAAAGGTTGGGAGGTAACAAAAAAATGCGTCTTTTTTGGCTTTCATTCTTTGGCTTGCGAAGGAATTATAAATAGGAGAATTTTAACAAAAAAATTTTGGTACTATTCATTTTAACGAAAAACATACATTTTTATACGAAAAAATCAATCCTGATATTATTCATTTTACTTTTTATTTTATCTTTATCATTAAAACTTAAAGTTTTCAAAACTTTTTCATTAGTTTTCTTTATAAATAATGCGTGGCGCCTCATGCTAATTGAGAGAGGACAACAGAGTGACGAAAAAATCCGTGTCATGTAAGTTATATTGTACAAGGGATTGGATTAAATTTGAATGTCCGCATGCAGCTAAATATTTAGAGAATTTTAACGAAAAATCTACAGTACTGTTCATTTTATCGAAAAACCACATTTTTATACTAAAAAATCAAACCTGATACTATTCATTTTACTCTTTATTGTTAAAACTCAAAATTTCCAAACTATTTTTATTAATTTTCTAAATATTTAAACTCCCGCGAGAATAAACCAATAAAAAATAGAAAAAAGAAATTAATATCTAGGAGATAATTCCTTCTAGCCTCAGTCCTTCGTTATGGACATCTTTTAAAGCCGAAAAATATGATTATTTGAACCAACAAAAACAGACAAAAATAATAAAATCATACACAAAAATGCATTGTATTTTATCGTACCAGCGAATTATCATAACAGAAACGTGTATAAAATCATAAAAAAATAAAAAAATTATAATATGGTGGAGAAAGATGGATCAGATGCACCTGGCTTGGTGTCTCTGTGGTATACAGAGATGTAAGTCGCTCAGTTATTTCAGCTTCGATCATTTGGGGAAATAATCATCACTTCCATCTCTTACTTTTTTTTCTTTTTTTCAATAAGAAACTCATAAAATAACTAAATTAAACAAAACAAAACAAAAAAGGAAATTGAGAAAAAAATAGATTTGAAAACAAAAAAAAAAAAAAAAAAAAGTGGATTTTGGGGGAATTGGGAGAGATCAGAGTTCTGGCTTGGAAATTAAAATATAGCGCAAGTTTGAATCAGCTTCGATCATATGGGGAAAGTAGCATCACTTCAACTCCCAAATCCCCCTCCCACCAAAATAAACCCTAATTTGAACACGCAAAATAATCAAAGAACATAAACGCAGACCAAATGTGGGTTTAGCAGAAAAAGAACAGATACGGAGCCCCAAAATTAAAACCCGAAAAAGATACAGATACGCAAAATAATCAGGCATCCATCGTTACGACGAAGGTGATGAGTCAGAGGCGGGGGTAGAGTGAGAGGGTCGGAGGAGGCGATTCAATTATATAGGCTCTCGTCTTGCACTTGGAAACCCTAATTTCACTGAGGATTTTAGGCGCCGTCCAAGTATAGACAAAGCGGCGGAGTTGGTTGATAGCTACCCTAAGCCCCAATTATATGTAAGCCCATCAAATCCACTTTCGAACGTAGCCCATTGTGGTGGCTGCTTCCAATTGCAACGCTGTCAATTCACTCACATTTTTATTAACATTTGATTCTAAAAATATTTTTATCAAAACGAAAAATACTTTCAGCTATTTTCAATGTAATTCCAAACGAGGACTTTTATCCTTACCCAACTAGGCCAAGGAGAAAGAGTCCCAATTAAGCTTCTTTTAGTGGCTGCACTGCGAGAATTGGGAGGCCATCTCCATTGGAGATGGCTATAGGGCCATAAGTCATATTTCAGCTCAAAATGTTCCACTATCCAACTCTAATGGAGGGCTGGGCCAAAAGAAAAAAGGGACCCACTAGGTCAAGTTTCAGCCCCTTGGCCATTAGGTTGTGCATTGTTAGCCAGCCAGCTAGCCATTTGCTGGTCCAGTCTATCAACACCTAACAGTTACATGACGTTAGCTAACATTAGACTTTGGATTTTTTTTTTTTTTTTAGGACGAAATTTTAAAAAGAAACTAAATACACAAGCCATTTAAAGAATACACTAAATTCAATTGTTGAATTAATGTCTAAGTTGTTGTAGTTTTAATATGACAATTTAATTCAACAAACTTAAAAATAATAAATTATTGAGAGGCTAAACATAGCCAGATTATATATAAATAGGGAGGTTTAATAAAAAAAGGTTTAAGATAAGTTTATTTTAACAAAAAATTATCTTATAACTTTATTTAATATAAAGAACCTGAAATTTAATAAAAATGACAAAATACAATATAATAAAAATAAAAGCTAAAGCCTCATCAATAATAAAGAAGCATTCGTGCAACACTAATTTTTCTCTTTTCAGCCAATGCCCCTGACGGAAGTATCATTTCGTCTGTCCATTCCATCAAAAAGTTAAAATTTTCCATTAGGCTTTAAACCGCGTGAAGTTTGTCGAGGCAACACTCCTATTAAATATTTGTTTGGTTGTGTCCATGTATCTGCTTGTCACATTTGTTTTCTTTTTCATGTGGGTCAAGTCACATTTTTTATTTTTTTGGGTCAAATCACCTTTATTTTCTATCTTTTATTTGGGTTTGGACGTTTGTGCCCTCATCCTTTTCTCTCCTTTTGTATTTCCCTTATCACTGCAATTGTTATTATTGACCAGGAACAATATTAAGGCTAATTCATGAACTGCAAAATATATTTTTCAAACGGGACATGTCAATGAGATGTATGACTTGACTTGTGAAGTCGAGGCATGCTCAACCTATCACAAGAATGCTAATTATCTGCCGACGAGATGACATTATCAGGCAAATAAATTAAGTAGTTGTGAAAAGTAAAGAAATAATTTAAAACTCGTTAGTGTTCTTCAAAATCCTTATCTAAACACAACGTAGTAAAAATCATGGCTCAGAACACTGAAAATCTCCTAGTTTTAAAACTCATTATTTTGGTTCAGTTTTAAAATAGGTGTAATTTTGTTGCAGTTTTAAAATTAGTGTGAATTATTTTGGTTCAGTTCCAGAAATAGTGTTGGTTATTTTGGTTTAGATTCAAAATAATGTGGGTTATTTTGCTGTAAATCCAAAAATAATGTTTATTTATTTCCTTCCAGAAATAATGTAGATTATTTTGGTTTAACTTTCAGAAATAGTGAGTGTGACAACCTGTCTCTAAATTTATGTTTTTATTTATTTTAATCGAGGGAATTGATGAAAATGCTTTAGAGGCAAGGATGTTAATTTCTGTTGACCATCATTTAGAGGAACATATGACTTATTCTTTTGGCGTATTTGTGTAATACTCGTTGGTACGAATGCATAAGCGAAAGCCGTTTGTGAGTCTGGATTATAACGGCATAGTTACGGATGTTTGAAATTGGTTACTTACATTTTAGATTACTAAATTATTTGAATTCCCGCCTTGTGGGAAAGAAGCCAATCAGCTTCAAGGATAGAAAATAGGACCCAATCAGGTGAGAGGAGGGAGAGTCAATTAGGAGAATGGACCTCCCCTTCCTGTGGACTAAACACCCGTGCACAGCACACCCAACCGTACCAAAAATCCGGCCAATTTCTGCCATTTTTTTTAAGTTGGAACACCATATCCTCCACCTACAACCTCTTCCCCAATCTTTCTTCTTCCATCTTCGCCTAAGATTGAAGAGTTTTAGGCCCAAAAACGCGAAGAACCTCATCGGAGCGCCGAAGGTGTTCGACGATGATTCCTCCGATCCGGCGAGTTTCACCACCCACCACCACCCTTAATCAACTCCCCTTGGACCCAGGAACAAGATCCAAGCAATTGTAGGGGTGTTGGAACATCGAGGAAGTCGAATCGAAGAACACCCATCTTAGGGTTTCCGGCGGTTCGTGACCAATTTGAGGTGTTTTCTGGCCAAATTGGCCTTGGCCACAGGTATAAAGTTTGCTTTATTCTTTGAGATCTTCATTTCTGTAAATTTTGAGAATTTTTAAAAATAGTTGAGTTTTCCAGCGAACCCGGGCGGCCGACCTTCACCCGCATCGGCTGGTACGGCGACGCATGGCCAGGGAGCCGACTTTGTGTTTTTATGCAAATTTTTTCATTCTAATTATGCCTTTGAGACCTAATTGTTGTAGTTTGGATATTAGTGTGATTCTTGTATATGTTGGATTAAATGAATATATTCGGATTTGGTTTGAATTCTAGTTATGTGAACTACAAATGGCTTGATCCCTGTTTAGGGTACATAGGCAATCTAACGAGACGTTAGATGTAGCCATACAATATTTGAGATAAAAGCCTTATTTGGGAAATTAAGCAATGTGAAGGAATTGGTGAAAATGTGAGTTTTAACTTTATGATTTGTTGGTTAAATGTGGTCATAAAACAGTGTGTGAGGAATAGAGAAATTGAAGTAAGGAATCTTAAGTATTGATAGTTAGTTAAGCTAGTGTTTAGTCGGGCTTGTCACCGATAATTACCCCTGAAAATAAATAGTTCGGGAGTAGGGCGTTATAGATTGTGCATTTTACGCCACATTATATGTACATATTTATATACTTGAAAGCACTACGATATGGTTAAGTTTTGGATTGCATCATGGCATATCGATAGGTATATTACTGCGCATAATTATTGTGAATGCTTTGAAG